CTTTGAAACATTTAGTCCTGTTGCCAAGCAACCTACTATCAGAATTCTTCTCTGTTTGGCTCTTCATTTTTCATGGTCCATTAAACAGCTGGACATTTCAAATGCCTTTCTTCATGGTATTTTAGAGGAAGAAGTGTATATGCATCAACCTCTTGGTTTTGTTGATCCAAACAAACCTTCCCTAGTGTGCAAACTCAATAAAGCCTTGTATGGCCTCAAACAAGCACCTAGGGCCTGGTTCTCTACTTTTTCCTCTTTTCTTCTTACTCAAGGTTTTCAAGCTAGTCATTGTGATTCCTCTCTATTTGTTAAAAAGACTTCTCATGCTATCACTATTCTTTTAATCTATGTTGATGACATTTTACTTACAGGCAGTGATTCTTCCTATATTTCCACTCTCATTACTCAGATGCATTCTACCTTTTCTATGAAGGAATTGGGGCTGATCAATTATTTTTTAGGAATCTCTGTTACTACTTCTTCCTCAGGATATTTTTTATCTCAACAAAAGTATGCTACTGATATTTTGGTTAAAGCTGGTATGACAAACTGTAAATCTTCTCCTTCCCCTTTGCCTCTCAAAACTAGTACTGATTCAGTTGATGATTTACCCTTTTCTCAGCCTTCTCTCTATCGTAGTCTTGTTGGTGCCTTAAAATATCTTACTATTACACGTCCAGACTTAGCTTTTGCTGTTAATCATGCATGTCAATTTCTTCAATCCCCTCTTACCAGTCATTTTGCTTTGGTAAAAAGAATTCTCAGATATCTGAAAGGCACTCTTCATCAAGGTCTCCCGTTTACTTCTGGTCCTCTTACCTTACATGCCTTTTCTGACTCAGATTGGGCAGGTTGTTCACTTGACCGCCGCTCAACCACTGGTTATTGTGTGTTTTTAGGTCCTAATTTGATTTCTTGGTCCGCCAAGAAGCAGCCTACTGTGTCTAGATCTTCTACTGAGGCTGAGTATAGAGCCCTTGCTCAAACTGCTGCTGAATTAAGCTGGCTTGGCATGCTACTGTCAGATCTGCATATCAAAGTTCCAGCTCCCATTCTTTGGTGTGATAATCTATCTGCAATTTCCTTAGCCAGCAATCCTGTGTTTCATGCCAGATCTAAACATATCGAAGTTGATTATCATTATGTCCGAGAAAGAGTTGCAGCTAAGAAACTTCTTATTCATCATGTTTCTTCCATGGATCAGCTTGCTGATTTATTCACCAAACCTCTTCCCTCTTCTCGGTTTTTGTATCTGCAGCACAAGCTTCTGGGATCTGTCATCCCTCTCAGCTTGAGGGGGCCTGTTAAAGAGTCTAGCCATAATCCAGAAGCTTCTAGTCCTGGTCCAGCTTCCCCAGCTCCAGCTACTTAGTTGACAGACAGTTACAGATCAGTCAGATAGTTAACAGAATAGTTAGGCAGTTACAGAATAAACTAGAGTTAATTAGTTTGTTATGCATTAGTTAGTTTGAATCAGAGTTAGTTTGTGTAGATTATAAATACACTCATTCCTGTAACTTGTAAATTCATTCCTTCTACATAATAAAACAAATAGTTTTACTCACTGCAAAATATCTGCTATCTGTCACTTTCAAATCCCATTAAAGTTTTAATAGTCGGAATTGTTCTTCAAACAATTATTGTTCATCATTTATGATTATCTATAAAGGAACATGATAATTTGACATTTATTTTGATTTTTAAAATTTTAAAACATTAACTTTCAAATTGAAAATACTAAAACAAAATTCTGTGCCAAAAAAAAATAAACTGAGTTTGGTTTTAGTTTTTTAAAAACTGAGTTTTTTTATTTTTCGTGTTTTTTGTTTTTTGTAAATATTTTTAAAATTTTAAACATTTTTTTAAAAATTTTTTAGAGGCACCTTACTTAGATGTATCTAAAAAGTAAAACATTTTTGAAAAAATATTTCAAAAAATTAATAAATATACAAAAATAAGAAATATATATTGAATTTTCATATTTTTTTGTATTTTTGGTATTTAGTGAATTTTTTAAAGATTTTTTTACGAAAATTATACTTTTTAAGTGTATTTATGTTAGGTGTGTCTAAAAATTAAAAAAAATACTTAAAATATTAAAAAAATTCAGTAAAAACAAAAAAATATGAAAAACATAAAAGTAAAATTTTCCGAAAAGTATTTTTAGAAAACCCAAACCAAGCAAAGCGAACCACTAAAAAAATGAAAAAAACTGATTTTTTTTTTTTTGGTAGCAAAATTAAAAATTTTATGTTTATAAAAGAGCATGATAATGAAACATTGATGTGCAAAAAAAAAAAACTTGAAAAATGAAAATACTAATAATGTTCTCAGTTTTAAAATTAAAAAACAAAATAAACTGATAATGTTCTCGATTTTATTAGATAGTTTAATCAAACCAATAAGTAAAAAGATAAAAATATTTAGTCTCATACTCTGTTTTTTTATCCATCAATTAGTAAAACAATTATCTAGAACATTACTATGCAAAATTGATAATGTTCTTAGTTTTAAAAATTGAAAAAAAAAAAATTGATAATATTCTCAGTTTTATTAAGTAGAACTTATTAATTTCAAAAAATCTTAAATATGTCCTAAACTACCATAACATTTGTAAATAGGGGTTTTAGATAGTTAATTCAATATTTAAATTCTGGACTATTTGACTAATCCTAATAGTTAAGCCTAGTCAATTTCACTATGGCATGGGTACATTTTGTGTAAAGTTCAAAGATACTTTTAGCATAATTGTGTGTTTTCTGCATTTATTGTGTGTTGATAAAAATACATGCAAAAAAACCTACAATGTCAATTGATTGCATGCACATGCAATTTTCATTCATTATTGAGAAATCACATGGCCATTGATTTGAAGAATCGCAACACCTCAAAAGTCTTCTTTAGTGGGGGCATAGTGGCAACTCATCACCAGCATTGTTTTGGAACCAAAATTTTTATGTAGGAAAGTTCAGATCTCTTTTCTGAATTGACTCACTTCTGAGTTGGGTATTTGTTCCTAATGAGAATAGATTAGGGTATGAATAATTATTTCTTAGCCTCCTTATCATTTGATCATTCCTTTACACTATCTGATAAACTTTATTTACGATGCATTTTTTTTTTTTTTTATCATTTCAAGGAACAACGATAACCCTGTTCAGATAGTGTAAATCCTAATAAGTACTGACCACTCGACTCTAGACCCGAATTTTGAAGGGTACTTTGGTAATTTTGCACTTATGAGTTGTTACCCTAATTTTTGTATATTTATAATTGAGGAGGAGATAGCTATTTTTGTGTCTTATAACTTTCTGATCATAATAAAAATTGCAACAGTAGTGGATTAGGTTTAGGCCAAGTTTGGCAAATTGAAAAAAAAGTTAAAAAGTTAAAAAGTTATTCAAAAAGTTAAAAAGTTATCACTAATCACCAAAAGTCAACAAGTACGGCAGCACAACTCTCAATCCTAATTTTTTCCTAGACACTAATTTATACAATTTTTTAATACACATTTTTCCATAAAAAGTCAAAAAATTAACCCAAACAACCATAATTTTTTTTCTCAACTTTTTAGTCTAAAAAGTCAAAAAGTACACTTATTTAGGACATCCCAAACAATCCCTTAATTTGTGATAAATCGCGTGAATCTTTGTGTTATTATGTGCTTAATTTTGATTTCATGTTTGTGTTTTACATCTCATCAATTCTAGTTAGGTCTATCAATTCCTAACAAATTGCCTTAAAGTCAGATACAATATGCACCTTAATTATTACATTTTTTTTTATTTTTTTATTTTTTGGTGTAAATGTTACTCAATCTTCTAGTTGAGTTGTAAAAATTTGTGATTTTTGAAGTGAAATTACCATAATTTGTGATACAATTACATAATTTTATGATAATATTATTTTTTTTAATCGAAATGTTACTCAACAGTATTTGTATTATTATTGTCAAGTAATATTTTGAGTAATATTTCGATCACATAAGAATAATATACTATAAATATATGTAACTATATTACAAATGATTGTAATTTTACTTTAGAAATAATAAATTATCATAACTCACCAAAAATTGCATGACATTTACTACAAAGATTAATAACATTTATCAAAAAAATTCAAAACAAGGTGCATATTGTTGAGTTTCCCTTTTCTAAGTGAGCCAAGTTTCAAAATGAACGTTATGATAGAGATCATTCTATTATACCCCCTCTAGTAAACCAAAAATAGGCTAAGAATACCCCGAAAAAATTCCTTTTAATCCTCTTTTCTCTTTATGGGTATTTGCTCCTAATGAGAATACTATCTACATTAAAATTGGGCAATGTTTGCATTGCTGTGGTTTTTTCAATGGTTGTGTGGCACTATTTTATGATTTTCATAACTAATTAGACATACAAAGTATTATACTACAAAGTCACATAATGTCACTGATGATGTACTCCTTTTAGAGGTGTACAATATGTATTTTCCTAGATTTTGGATTTGACCCGAGTAGTCTTGTAACCACACTTTAGGATGTAGTGAGAGAAAGATCAAGGGTTCGAGGTGATAGAACAACGACGACCTTTTTAGTCATAATATAACTATACTAACTAACTCATTAATATCCTACAACCTTGACCCCAAAAAAAAACATACATTTTTCCAAAATTAAAATACTTGCTTCCAAGCTTTGTTGTTCCATTTCCTACTCATTTTTTTTTTTTGTTTTTGGTCTAAATGGTTTGAATCACACAATTGCCTCTTACCGTCCATGAGAAGGTACTGGCGACAAATATTGAAAAAGGCAAAAGAAGTGGAATTATTTAAAATGATCATATTGTAGTAGGACAACTTTTTTTTTTTTAGATGACACATTTTATATATAATGTACGTAGCAGGTGAGTTGCCCTTAGTTGATCAAGTGAATAGAAGTAGGGAATCAAAATAAGTGACCCAAACAAAGCCTAATAAAAAAAACTAAGAAATCCAGCTGTAGATAAGCTATTACTCTTCCATTAGCCAAACAACGAATTAAATTGGTCCATAATTGACAGCTCTCTACTCCAAAGACTAGAAACTCTCTCTCACCACTCTTCACTATAAATACTTTTTGGGCATTCAATCCTCAAATCATCTCCTCTCAACTAAACCTCTAGTTTTGCTCTTCTAAAACTCTTCTTCCTTCTCTAATCAAAGAGGGTTGTGAGCTAGTCTGACCTCATTGATCGGACTTGGTGTTGGTGGCAGTTTTGGATCATTGATGAGAACTCAATATGGCGGCGACCCCCCTAGTAGGGATCGTCTTTGGCCACAATTGTTGCTAGCATTGACCATAGTGGTTGCTTCAAGCAATGTAATCTCGGCAGACCCTTACATCTACTCCTCTCCACCACCACCACCATATGAGTACAAGTCACCACCACCACCCTCTTTGTCTCCACCACCACCTTATGAGTACAAATCACCTCCACCTCCCCCTTATGTGTATAAGTCACCACCCCTACCATCACCTTCTCCGCCACCACCATACACCTACAAATCACCTCCACTACCATCACCGTCTCTACCACCACCATACTATTACAAATTACCATCACCTCCTTCGCCTTCTCCACCGCCACCATACCAATACAAGTCGCCACCTCCACCCTCTCCGTCTCCACCACCACCTTACTATTACAAGTCCCCTCCACCACCCTCTCCTTCTCCCCCACCACCCTATTACTACAAGTCCCCACCACCACCTTCACCCTCTCCTCCATCTCCATACTACTACAAGTCCCCTCCACCACCTTCTCCTTTTCCCCCACCACCCTATTACTACAAGTCTCCACCACCACCTTCACCCTCACCTCCACCACCATACTACTACAAGTCTCCTCCACCACCCTCACCTTCACCACCACCACCTAACTACTACAAGTCTCCCCCACCTCTCTCTCCGTCACCACCTCCACCATACTATTATAAATCACCTCCTCTACCATCATCCTCGCCCCCACCACCTTACTACTACAAGTCTCCCCCACCTCCCTCTCCATCACCACCTTCACCATACTATTATAAATCGCCTCCTCCACCATCACCTTCACCACCTCCACCATACTACTACAAGTCCCCACCACCCCCATCTCCATCTCCTCCACCACCATACTACTATAAGTCCCCACCACCTCCATCACCATCTCCCCCACCACCATACTACTACAAATCCCCACCACCACCTTCCCCATCTCCTCCCCCTTCATACTATTACAAAACCCCACCACCACCGTCTTTGTCTCCTCCACCTTACTACTACAAGTCCCCACCACCACCATCACCATCCCCACCACCTCCCTACTACTACAAGTCCTATCAGTTTGAACTGATATAGATAGATATAATATATATTAGATATTATCTGTATCTTAACTGATATGGATATATATTATAATATATTAAATATTTGTTATATGGTTATGGGCAATCCAAGAGAAACAACGTTGAGTCTGTTTTCTACCCGACTCTCTCCCAAGAAACAACGATCAAGTCAGTTGCACTGTGGTTTGTGTGGGTGATATTCACCATTGTAATATCACCCCTCTTTCTGGATGATTCACAAGTCTTGAAAATTCATTTTTTCAACAAATTCTCATTATTCAAACAAATGGGTTTGTAGTGTTTACCTCTTTAATGATTTTGTCAGATCTTGAAACTAAGATTCTATAGATGCGTATTAGCTTTCTCAAACTCAAATTTATTATAATTAAACAATTATTAATGACTATATAAGACTTGCTTTATATCTTGTAATTGATAAATGATTGGAGTTTAAATCATAAACAGTATTTAATTATTCAATTGCTATTATTTGGCTTTAACTTCATAAATAATATAATAATTTCAACAAAGGAGGCAAAGAAAAACAAGTATCGACAGCAAATGACTTTTAATAGTTGTTTTTTATTAAGGTTTAAAATATATATAACTGCATGTGATGTGTTTAGGATCTTTAGATAATGAAGGCTCCGATTGCATGTACAGTTCATATGAAAAATGATTCGCACAAACAAAAATTTTATATAAAAAATCTCCAAAAATGATATACTAGTGACATTTTAGAAATTTTAAGTCACTTTAATGAATCTTTTGATTTAAAATGAATGAACATACATCTTCTCATTCTGTATGAATTTTTTGTACAAATTTTTTGTTTATGTATGCGCTATTCAATAATTTTTTGGTAAATAAGTTTAAGAAGAGAAGGTAAACACAAAATTAAATACAGAACAAATATTAGACAATTTTTTAATTTCATTTTATAATGGACTTCACTAAATAAATTTTATTAATTTCTGTTTTTGTGTCTATTTCCATGTTTGATTTATGTTTTTATTGTTGGATTTAATTTCTAAGTTCTTGATAATATAAGTGTGTGATGATAAAACAGTTCAAACAAAGAAAAATTTAATTAAGGCAGAGCTGGCTATAATCACAAAATTAGTTATTGTAGTAGGTAAAGACCTAGCTAACTTGCGATATGATTTGGCTGACTTCCTTAGATATATATATTAAAAGTGTCCGACAAGATAACCTAGATAGAGAGAGAAAGTTGTGTGTAGTGAATTGCAGGTGTTGATTTAATAATTTAAATTTTTTATCTTCATAATAACTGCTAAGTAAGATAAATATTTAAAAATAAATATAATATTATTATGATTTTTTTTGAAAATTAAAATTGTGTGACAAAATCGTTCATACTAAATGAGTTAAAAGTGATTTATATAACAGTATACGTGCTTAGTGTTTTGAACTGTGTTTAATAATTTATACAAAATATGCTGGCTATAATCACAAAATTAGTTTTTGTAGTAGGTAAAGACCTAGCTAACTTGCGATATGATTTGGCTGACTTCCTTAGATATATATATTAAAAGTGTCCGACAAGATAACTTAGATAGAGAGAGAAAGTTGTGTGTAGTGAATTGCAGGTGTTGATTTAATAATTTAAATTTTTTATCTTCATAATAACTGCTAAGTAAGATAAATATTTAAAAATAAATATAATATTATTATGATTTTTTTTGAAAATTAAAATTGTGTGACAAAATCGTTCATACTAAATGAGTTAAAAGTGATTTATATAACAGTATACGTGCTTAGTGTTTTGAACCGTGTTTAATAATTTATACAAAATATGGGGGAGATGCAGGTGCTGTAGTGGAGGTAACATGCAAGGCCGGTGAGAATAAAATAGTGGGATATGGTACAACCAAGATCAACGGCAAGTACACCATTACACTGCATGGTTTTGACTACCACATGTATGGATCCAACTCATGCATGGCCAAGCTCCACATGCCTCCAAAGGACTCCCCATGCAACTTCCCAACCAATCTTCATTTGGGCATCAATGGTGCCACCCTCAAAGTCAAGTCCAAGAATAACCATGAGGTTGTACTCTATGCCAAGCCATTTGCTTATGCTCCTAAGACACCTTATGAGGAGTGTGAGAACACCAAGCCCACCCCTACACCAGCTTATTATTACAAGTCTCCACCACCACCATCACTATCTCCTCCACCACCATACTACTATAAGTCACCGCCGCCGCCTTCACCATCATCTCCACCACTTTACTACTACAAGTCACCCCCACCACCTTCATTGTCTCTTCCCCCTCCCTACGATTACAAGTCACCTCCTCCACCATCACCATTCCCTCCACCACCATACTACTATAAGTCTCCTCCTCCCCCTTCACCTTCATCTCCACCACTTTACTACTACAAGTCACCCCCTCCACCACTGTACTACTATAAGTCACCACCACCACCATCGCCATCTCCTCCACCTCCTTACTAATATAAGTCTCCACCCCCACCATCGTCATCTCCTCCACCAGCATACTACTATAAGTCACCACCACCACCATCTCTCTCCCCACCACCTCCCTACTATTACAATTCCCCACCACCACCGTCCCCGTCACAACCACCTCCCTACTACTACAAGTCACCCCCACCACCATCACCTCCACCACCATACTATTACGAATCCCCACCACCACCTTCTCCATCACCACCACCTCCTTACTACTATAAGTCTCCCCCATCACTCTCATCTTCTCCTCTACCTCCCTACTACTACAAGTCCCCACCACAACCACCACCACCATCATCTCTTCCTCCACCTTATGTTTACAAATCCCCACCACCACCTTCTCCCTTTCCCCCTCCTCCCTATGTCTACATGTCCCCACCAACTCCATTCCCATCACCACCGCCTCCCTATTACTACAAGTCTCCACGGCCACCGTCACCATCTCCTCCACCACCATACTATTACAAGTCTCCTCCACCACCTTCTCTATCACCGCCACCTCCCTACTACTACAAGTCTCTCCCACCACCGTCGCCTTCACCTCCACCTCCCTACTACTACAAGTCCCCACCACCACCATCCTCATCTCCTCCTCCACCTTATGTCTACAAATCCCCACCACCACCTTCTTCGTCTCCCCCTCCTCCCTATGTCTACAAGTCCCCACCACCTCCATCCCTATCACCACCACCTCCCTACTACTACAAGTCTCCACCTCCACCATCACCATCTCATCCACCATCATACTATTACAACTCCCCACCACCACCTTCCCCATCACCACCACCTTCATACTGCTACAAGTCTCCCCCACCACCGTCGTCTTCACCTCCACCTCCCTACTACTACAAGTCCCCTCCATCACCATCCTCATCTCCTCCCCCACCTTATGTCTACAAATCCCCACCACCACCTTCTCTCTCTCCCCCTCCTCCCTATGTCTACAAGTCCCCACCTCCTCCATCACTATCTCCTCCTCCCCCGTACTACTATTCATCACCACCCCCACCCATAAAATCACCTCCACCTCCCGTCTACATGTATGCTTCTCCACCACCGCCAACTCACTACTAACCCATAAAATCACCTCCACCTCCCGTCTACATGTATGCTTCTCCACCACCGCCAACTCACTACTAAGCTCAAGTAGCTCAGCCACTTACCACTGCCAATCATGTAAGTGATTTCCCATCACAAATTTATTTCGTTCATTATATGATGATTTATGATCCAAGAAGTTGGACAGTATCCTTCTTCTCTTTTTTTTTTCTTTTCTTTTTTTAATGTTCATTTGCAACTCTTGATTTCAAAGGTGGAATAAAAGAAGGGTTCATAAGGAGAAGATTCAGACATCAAGACTTCAATCCAAGTACATTCAATAATGTCCTAAACGTTGCATTTGAGAGCTTTAACGTTTCCAATTTGGACCAGTCGTCTACTTCTCTGGCGGCTAGCTTGCATATTGTGCTCATTCTATTTTTAAGTGGGAGTGGCTTCAAAGGTTTAAAAGGGATTAGCAACTGAGATTGAATATTTATTGGGTTCTTTTTGTAGAGTTGTTCCCCCAAATAATTTATTAGTATATAGTGGATGGCATTTGTTCTATTGATCTTCTATTTACACGGGTCATTTTTTTTCTTTAGATGTTCTAGTGCATTGTGCACTCAAATTATTGAAAATAAAGAATAATATTTTCTACAAAAATGTTATGTGCGGCTGCTTGTTTATTACGATTTTGTATCACCGTTTACATAACCACTCATGATTAGTTACCTTATTTGCAAATAATTATTAACAAATTAATAAAGAAAAATGATATCTTGCCACATATTCTGATAATATAAAAAAACGAAAATAAATGTTAATATATAGCAATTCTCTACTTTTCTAATGTTGTTGAAAATATAAATAATAAGAGTAGTGCTACTTGAATCTAAAAATTAGATAAATTTTTTCAAACTTAATGATATGATAGTCTATTAGAATATCTAAGGTAATACTCTATTTCATATCTTCTCATTAGCTAATCATTCTTTCACACATCACTAGGTATTAAAAATAAATCTAGAAAGTAGACTTCTATATATCATTTTCCAAATAATAAAGACACTCATCTCTTTAATGATAAGATTACCGAGTCATCATCAATTGCATATGATCAAAAGGCACAGCAGAGCTTATGCAGATGAGTACACAGCATATCAAAGCTTCCATTAGTTAATATAACCATATTTGTTATATCAATTGAGTTTGTCATAATATGTTAGATATAGAATAGATATAGTTGGTTAGGTTCTACTGATGTATAAATATAGATGTGGTGTAACAGATTCATTCATTTGAATAAGATTTTGAGATCATATCTTCTTTATGGTATCAGAGCATCAGCTCTAATGAGCTTCAGTTCTGGAAGTATCTTCAATAGCGTTTGTGGAGGAGTCTGTACCTGCTCTTCCTCCTTATCTCACACTTCTGATTTCAAATGTGAACTCGTTTGTTATTGTCAAATTG